TCTTTCTCGAATATGACCTACCAAATTAGACTTATCACCGGGTTTGTACTTAAATGAGCAACACGACGCGTTTCACATGCGGAGTAGGATTTGTTTATTCTTCCTGAGCCCCTGAGGTCACACCGGGTGGTTGGTGGGGTAGGTGTAGCTCATTTTTTAGTTGTTTATGCTGTGTTTTGTGTACTGTTGTTTGTCTTTTGGCCGTATTTTGTTTTTTGCAATGGCATTGTCAGTTTGTTTTCGACACTTTAGTTAGCGTTTGATCCATTTAATGCAGTGAAAACACAATATTCCTTCACAACTCGCTCGTCAAAAATTGTTTACTTTTGTATATTTTATTTCGTCCACCATTGAATCATGTATAATAACCATGGATTGGAGGCGGACCAACTATGACCAAAATCCGTTTTTCACGATAATAGATACAGACAAGTGCATGGCTCAGATTAATGGAGAATAAAGAGCTCAAAAGGGGAAAATATTACAACAAGAATGCATGTGTTGTCATGTGGAATAGGGTATAGATATATGGTAACCGTGTTCATAGACGTAGCACTTCCTGCGTTTTGGTCTTATATATCCTTGACTTTTTTTAGCGTTCCTGATAAAGGTAAATCCAGAAAAGCGCTTCGGATGCAAAAAGATAATATCGTGTTTTCATTTCATTAGAATGCTCCCTCCAATAGTAAACTAATGCCAAGGGTTGGCGTGTGATTGGCTATGCGGTATGAATTTATAAATATGCAGATAATTCTGGTCAAAATGGAGTCTTAAATACCGGGTATTTCATCCGATGCCTCGTGTATTGAGAGTGCTACGCCCCCTTCATGTTAATCCATTGTGGAGTCCCTAGGTGGTCACAATGTCTGTATCACTCTGCTCAGTGCTTCATTAAATTGCATATCACGGATTTGTGAGGCCAAATACGTTAACCAGCCTAAATAACTTTGACCCAGACATATCACCGACATAATAATGAATGAACCGACGTTGATAATTTTGACCCAAAATTTTCAAGTCATCTTGCAGTTTGCTGATGTAACAAGCAAAACAATTGTTTCTATCATGCAAACTACACAAATACAATCTGATAAATCGTTTATCAGATTTTCATCATATTTATATTGTAAAATATTAGCTGGTCGGCACAGTAGTATTCGCTGCGCTCACTCGACAAAAAGCTTCATGTTATGACTCGCAGCTGATATTCTACATTATTAACCCATGAAATCACAAGAATAATAAACTACTAAAAACTTTCAAAATTATGTTAATTTTATTGATAAATGAACAATTTATATGAAAGCGGACACCTTTGTTTCCAATCAAGAAAATGGTGGCCTTAGTTTGGAGTTTTGGCGGGAAGATTGACGTCATGTCGTTGCTCAATCAATCTGTTACCTAGTTGGTGGTGAAAAACGTTTAAAGAAATCGACGTAAAGTTTGATTTTGTCAGGTTTTATGGACTTCCTACTTTTTGAAGTTTGGCATTTTGGTTAATACTCTTTAAAAAAATCGGCGTTTCACCTAGAACACCACTTTGAATGAAGTAAAAACGAAGTCAGTGGCCCTATTATTATTTTACATCACTACAACGGAAATTCAACAACATACCATTTTTAAAGTTCAAATGATTATATTTGATGTTTTGAAGACAAATTTAAGAACGTTTTTCGAGGCTTTTTTACTGGCTGTATACCTCTCTGGAACATGCTAATTATTCGCATATATATGCAGCTAGATCTGAGAAAGTCAGGGAAAAAATTTCAAAGGAATAGATTTATATGCAGCACAGATTGGCACTTTTGAAAATAAGTTACTAAGCAAATTCAAACGGACCTTATCCCGATGTAAACATTGAATGTGAATAGATCGAGAAGACCGCACATACATGTACAAAAATCGAGACGGTCTTTTCTTAAAATTGTATAAAAAAAATAGTAAAAAGATGCCTACTTTATAAGAATATTTATCTTGAATTTTTTAACCTGACAGACAGACTTTTATATTGTTATATTCAAGAGCACACCGGTGCACTCGAAAACTTATAATGTAAAAGATAAGTATATTTTAGGAAATTGTAACATGCTAAGGACTTTGTGGAACACTCCAAAAATTCGTGACCCGAAATATCTTTAGATTTTGTATGTACATGATTTTTTTCAAATTTTTTTATCAATATGCAGCAAAGATTGGCATTTTTTAGATTTCAGTTTCACAAGCTTCTAATGCAATAATCTCGATAAATACTGAACATAATACATCGTGTATTTGCATGTATATATCTAATAACACAGTTTAAGAAATAATTTCTTTAAAATGTACAATTGATATTTAGAAACAACTATCAGTGTCGTTACAGGCATTGTTTTATTATTGATTTTCTCGACTCTATCATAATCACTAGATTTCCCACTGTACAGTTATAGTTCAAAGAGTCAAAGTTGTATGTACAGTTTTACCAAAATCTGTGACATAGTTCATTTACTTGAAAGGAATAACTAAAATATAAACAAAATTTACACATTTATAGCAGCTTTCAAGAGTCACACCAATGTAACAGTTTAGAGTGGCACAACAAAATCCTAAAGTTTAAAATTTACTTCACTTCAGCGGAAACTTCTGTTAGCATGAGTCTGAATTGGTACATATTGGTAAACTAATCTGTATGGCGGACTTGTTTGTCTTACCACGATACGTCTGAACAAAGACCCACCTGTCGTCATCCTTCGCCTGGAACCAAATCTCGATCTCGCGTTGAAAGGCAATGTTCTTGACGATTGTCGTCTTGTTATTGAAGAATTTCTTGAAGTATTTCTCGTTCTTTGTCGGACGTTTTGGCGGGAAGGTTGACGTCTCCTGCTTGAAAATCTTATGTTTGACTGCCAGTTGGGTCTCCTATTAATATTTGTTCGGATTATACCAGGAAGGTTCCAAGATGACAGTGTTCTTCCCCTAAAGTCTCTTCTAGGTAACCTTGTTGCAACATTTCTACTAGCACGCCTCCAATTGGTTCTACCTGGACGGATGGTATTTGTTTGAGTTAGTCTGTTTGAATTTGTTTGAGTTTGTCTGTTTGTATTTGTTTGAGTTTGTCTGTTTGTATTAGTTTGAGTTTGTCTGTTTGTATTTGTTTGAGTTTGTCTGTTTGTATTTGTTTGAGTTGGTCTGTTTGTATTTGTTTGAGTTTGTCTGTTTGATTTAGTTTGAGTTTGTCTGTTTGTATTTGTTTGAGTTTGTCTGTTTGTATTTGTTTGAGTTTGTCTGTTTGTATCTGTTTGAGTTGGTCTGTTTGTATTAGTTAGAGTTAGTCTGTTTGTATTTGTTTGAGTTGGTCTGTTTGTATTTGTTTGAGTTTGTCTGTTTGTATTTGTTTGAATTTGCCTGTTTGTATTTGTTAGAGTTAGTCTGTTTGTATTTCTGTTGTTGCCCTGTCCGCCTACAGCTATTCGAAGCCCCCTTCCCCTCATAGCAGTATTCACTAAACTGGATCCTGGCCTGATAATTGTCCAAGCACCAGTTTGACTCCTAGAACCAGCTGGTCCCAAATTTCGAGTTTGACGATTATTCCAGGCTCGTGTGACATTATTTCTACGGTTTGTCCACTGTCCACGGGCATTTATTCTACGGTTTGTTGCAAGTCTACGCCTCCAGTCTGTTGCTTCATCGGAAGATCCGGAATCATCGTCTGAAGATCCCGAGAAATCGTTCGAATTGGCAGAATCCGACCATTCAGTTGACGCGGCTGAATCTGAGAAGTCGTTTGAATCGGTATCTAACAAGTCATTTGAATCGGTTGAGTCTGACAAATCATTCGAATCTGTAGAGTCTGGAAAACTGTTTGGATCAGTATCTGAAATAGAATCCAATCTCCTAATGTATGGAATGATAATAAAACATATAGTTAATATATTTATTATTTCGAGCATCGGTATGTCTATTATAGATATTCTTAAAGATACACTAGACGACAATTAGAAAAATAGGATATGAAAAATAGTTTCCTACTTCCAGAGAGCTAAACAAATATATAAGTATGTCAAGGTGAAAGATGTATACTCATTTCTAAGTTAAAGATCTAGTATTAAACCTTTGTAAGAGATATATGTCTTTAAGTTAGAGAACTTGGTGTTATTCTAATGCTAAAACATTAACATGGTAAATTCATATCGAACGTCTTGCAGATAATAGCATGTTAAAGTTTCGTTCCTTGTATAATAGAACACAGCAATTGGAAATTCAATAAAAGCCAAGTAATAAAATATAATGTTCGACTAGTCTGGTACAGTATGGGTGATATTTCTGTGTATTTGTTTCCATGAACAAATTCAAATTATGATTAAAGGCTACATATATAAAACATAGATATGTATAATACAACAAATTCTTTCAAGGCTCCGGCTATAAAATTCATACTCTGCAATGACGTTTTATCGTATATGGGTCTATTCTTTTAAATGTTTCATGACAAAACGTGAATAAGAAAATCATTGCAATGTTCTTCTTTATTTGTAATATAATTTTACTTTTAAAATGAAGAGTAGAAGTTCTCCTGCCAGTAGTCTGTTCTTGGACATTGGTATTATTAAAATGATGTATTCTTAATGTAAATTTTTAGTTTATGAATTATACAAGTTTGCAACTTAATCAAGCAAGGTTTACCTTACCTGAAGCTGTTTATTTCGGTCGGTTTTTCATTCTTTTGAGCTTTTATTAGTTTACTTCTATAAAAGGTGTGTTTTATACTATAACCCAAACATGTACACTGTATAATCACCTTGTGTTTTGACCAGTCCTATAACTAGGAAAAGAATGAAAAGCTTCATCTTGACCACTTTCAACAATCAATTCTTCTCAGTCCCAAAACTAACACGTTTACATAAAAACAAATATATATAAATTACAAACTTCTCATGCACAGATATATATAATTTAAAAATATAGATAGAAGAATGGCTGCACAGTTATTACACGTTAAATATTGTCTATTTCTTCTTAGCAAAAATAAGGTTGTCTCAAAAATAAGGAGACAAGCGCTTTACATGTGTTGTATAGACCACAAGGGTCTCTTCCGTCCTTATCTAGGGGTGCTAACATTCTCTCCTTTCTTACAACACTAGAATAGCTCCATACTTCGGAAACAACCTTATTTTTACTAAGAAGAAATAGACAATATTTAATGTGTTATAACAATGCAGCCATTCTGCGATTTACATTTTTAAATAATATATATATATATATATATATATATGTGCAAGTCTAAATTGAAAACAACGTTCAAACCTATATATATATGTGTGTGTGTACAGACCATAAGATCATAAATCATAAAAACGTTATTATCTATATGAAATGAAAAAAAAGTATACAAAACCCTTAATTGTATGGACATTGATTTTAGATACTACATAAAAGGTTATTTAAAAATAAATCCAAATTACTTTTAGATAGAAATAAACTGTCAATTAAACAAACTACCATGTTATAGAAGCTAATGTTACCATGGGTCAGTGTTGCAAATGGTTAACTGTCGGTCCCTGAAGGTACCACAAACTCAGTAGCCAGTGTTTCGTTAATAGTATGTTTTGAATGAACCATTCTTAATTGTAAATTTCCCGTTTATAAGTCATGTAATTATACCTAATCTAAAATTCAGTTGACCTAGTCGGATTTGCCTGTTCTGTATTCAGTATAAAGATAAGGAGATGTGGTATGATTGCCAATGACACAACTATTTACCGGAGACCAAAGGACGAGGGTGTGACCTACTACAGGTCACCGTACGATCTTCACTTGGTTTTGATTTGTTGTGGCGGTTTTTTTTTATATATTTTATAACAACAAAATCGAATATCAAATTAATAAGAAGAACAAGTACCAAGTGTATAATAATATTCACTTTCAAGCTATCATGTCTTGTGAGATTTTTTTCAAATCTTGTAGCCGAAACCCATATTTGAATTTCCAATGTTATAATGTTTTTTTTCAATAATAGATACTGTTTAAACTAAGTTTAACAGAATGATCCTAAATGCCGTTAATTCTTTTTACTCAAGTGAAAAAAGCGTATTGGATAAAGATATTTAGCAAGTCATTTAGTAGTAATTGTCAGATTATAATAATAATAATAATAATAATAATGATAATAATAATAATAATAATAATAATAGTGTATCTATGTAATTCTGAATTTTTTTTAGTATACAAAGAATATGATCTTTCAAAAAAAGAGATATAAACCCAGACTTTACTACAACTAACGAAATGAAAATTTGAAAAAAAAAGAACCCTCCCTTCATTTTTTTTTTAATTAAGTAATGATAGCCTTACCCTGTGACTACGGTCTCCAGATTGTTCCCGTCTATTAGTTTATGAGAATGTTATATATTTATTTTTTTATTGATATTCAAATTGAAGTGTTTTGATTAATGCAAATTCGTATTTTAATGTTTACATAATTTTTTTTGTCGCATTGATGAATAAATGTGTCAACCAATATCTTCATGATCTGTTTAGAAAAGATAAACATAAACCCATACTTATGTCTATGGTATCATCAACAACGAATTGGAGTATTGACAAAGAAACCATCCCATGAACACCACCACCACCGCCACCACAAAAACAATAACAGAAACAAAATTACAAAATAAAGACAAGAGAGAAAAAATAATATTATAAAGGTGTCTTCCAGGTATTACTTTTAATAAATACATATTTCTTATATTCCTTCAAAAAGGAGTATAGGGTAATGTGCTGTTTTAGCAATTTATTAGATTCAATTGATATACATGTAGGTACTGTAAATATGTGCAAAATTTGTCTTTCTCTTTTTTTTTTATAGAAAAAAATAGAATTATAAAGATAAAAATTGGTGCACTGCAGAGAATAAAAAAAGAAAATTTAACATAGAAATGTACTTTTATATACAAAGAATATTTCAATTATTGAAAGTGATGAGGTAACAATTAGTCGAATTATACATATTGCCGGTACACATATAATTCAAAATTTTAAAATATTTTTGAAGAGGAATGTACTATCTAATGAATATTAATGAACTAATTGATCATATCAGAAATTTAAAATGTTATCGTCTAATAATTACATTACATGTATGTTTCATTAGAATTCGTAATTTGATTGGTTGACAACAATCGCAAGGCACTTCAATATTATATTTTATTTCCGTGTAAAATACAACAGCTATGACTGCACGAGCTATCCATCGCAATGTTAAAATAATGCAATGGAGAAAAAACGAAAAGCTTGATATAACTCATAATTTCTTGGTTGTACCATAAAAATGTAAATATAAGAATTGAATGCTTCGTTTTATAATTTTATAGGGTTGTAAAAGCGTTGACACATTTTTAATATGAAACACTTCTGCGCTTCATGCAAAATGTGCTTCGGTAAACGCTTTTACTCCCCAATGTTATTAGACTGCAGCATCCAGATTGTATCCGTTCAGTAGATTCTGACTCGTATAAGTGTTTTTAATTGATATTCTAAGCATATATATTATGATCGATGAAATTAAATATTCTAATTTGTAAATATTTGTTTGTCATATTGAAAAAAAATGGATCCATTGAAAAGTTCGAATCAAGTCAGGTTGTTCCATGGAATGTCGTAGGCCGCTTATTATTTTTTCTTAACCTTTCTTCACCATGTTCACATTTCGGAACATATTTTTTAAATCAAAGTATTTGATAATATTAAGCTTCAATTTCTTTGAAATTTACCCAATTCATATGTGATGAAAAAAAAAGAAATGCACTGATATTATATGCTACCTTGTAGGTTCCCACTAAACCTTATTTGAAATCTCAGAACATTGACCTAGCCATTGTAAACTTGACTTCTGTGTATATTTCCTTACTCGTTCGCTATGCTATGGTAAATTATTAGGTAAGGGATTTCGTTACCACAACTCATATAAAATCTTCACCAAATGTTTTCGTTTATACAAATATTTGGGTTAGAAGTTTGGCTGAATCTTTAAAAACCAAATAACCAGCAGGATATTGCATTCTAATTTTTACAGTAATGTTATTTATGGAGCCTGTTAACTTAAATAAATCCCATAAACTTATTCTTAAAGGTCATTAATTTAAACAATGTAGCAACATTGATTCTGTTTTTAATAAACTAAAATCGAACTAATTATGTGTGGCTACACTTTAGTCCTACATCCTGTCGATAACTATAATTGGCATTGCAAAGGCCATGTCTTTTCTCAGACTGTCTTTACACGAAATCCATTGAATTTGTACTGATTGCAATGGTAGTCTTGGAAAGCTTGGTTTACTTATTAGTTTAAGTTGGCTTGGGATTAAAGCACTTAATTTTCTCCTTGACAACATTTATGTACGTTTCGGCAATAAAGTTTATCGACAGATTGTAGGTATTCCTATCGGCACCAACTCTACACAAAAATTTACGACAAAAGGGATGATTTTTCTTTCCCTATTGTTAATCTTCCCTTTTTGGACGATGATGTTCCTTTGGTACCGTCTTATGGTGTTTATATATCCCAACTCGTTCGCTATGCTCGTGTCTGTAGTGACGTTTTGGAATTTGATGAGCGTAATCTATGTATTACTTGTAAAATATTAAGTCAGGGATTTCGTTACCAAAAATTACTTAAAACCTTTACTAAATTCTTTCATAGATACAAAGATTTGTTCTGCAAGTTTGGCTGTACCTGTAGAAAACTTATTTCAGACGGAATAGCACATCCTAAATTTTACGGTGATGTTGTAAACGGTAAAACCGAGCCCGGAAATTTAGATACGATCCGGGTAAACTTATCAATCATTTAAATAAACTTATTCTAAAAGGTTACCTATTCAACATTGTAATTAAATCTTTGAATATTGTTTTTATTGGTGTAAATATTGATTTTGTTATCAGTGAATTTAAACCATACTGAATATTACATATATGTACTTTCACGGTACTACAATCTGTCGATACTAATAGTTTGGCATTACATAAGGTCATGTTTTTCCCTGATTGTTAATGACGTCTATACACTAAATCCATTGGATGTTGGATGTGTACTGATTGATATTTTAGTCTTAGATACATGATTTTTTTCATTAGTTATTATTGGCTTTGAAGTAGCTCTCAGTAACTGCGAGTACTCTCAGATCTGTACTTAGTGTTTTTTTTGTTTTTGGGATGTACAAGTACCCGTCCACCTCCACTTTGTGTTTTTGTTAGATGTATTTCTATTTGTATCCATCTGATGAGTTAAGCCTTTTTCAACTGGTTTTTATAGTTTGTCCTTATGTTGTATTGTTACACCACTGTCCCAGGCTAGGGGAGAGTTGATCGCTCACAAACATGTTTAACCCCGCCACATTCGTTATGTGTCTGTCCCAAGTCAGGAGCCTATAGTTCAGTGGTTGTCGTTGGTTCATGTCTGTCGTATTTGTTTTTCGTAAACTATTTTATTATATAAATTAGACCGTTAGTTTTCTCAATTGAATTGTTTCATATTTTTCATGTCGGGGCCTTTTGTAGCCGACCACACGGTATATATGGATTTTTATAGTTTGTTCTTATGGTGCGCTGTTTAACTATTGTCTACGGTAAAATAAAAAGGGGGATGAGCGCTCACAAATATGTTTATTCTCATCCAATCTGTGGTTTAATTCTTTTAGGAGTTAATAACTTCGTTAATCTTCGTGGAATTTTATAAAAGCTTGTTTATGATCTAATAACAGACAGTATCCAGAGCAAACATTTTTTCTTTTTTCCATACTTTACTGATAAAAGCACAAAGGTTTTTTGTAGTTAACATTTACAGTCTGGAATCAAAGTTTCTTAGATATTAATAACTTTGTCAAACCTCCATGGTATTTTGTGAAACTTGGACAAAAGCTTTTTATGTTTTAGAGATTATTTCTTCAAATCTTGATTTTCTCTATGTTTTCGCATTTTACTGATAAGTAGTCTTAGTTAAGGGGCAAAATGAAGCCCGCCTCCCGGTGCGGAATTTTCTTGCTGCGTTGGAGAACTTTTGGTGACCTTGGGCTATCTTCTGTTTTTTTGGTCGGGTTGTTGTCTCTTTGATTCATTCTCCGTTTCCATTTTCTATTCTATT